CAAGCATATGTCTCAAAGCGCTACAAAAAAAGATAAATCCTACCGTGCTTAAAACAAAAGAAGTGTCATATGTTGTGCGTATTTCAGTTATTTATTTTTATGTTCTACTTATTCCAAACTTTTTCTGTTTTAGAGTGGTGTAGTTACGCATTTAGATCAGGTCATATCTTGCTTCTTGTGGTGTTCGCTGTTAATCATCCTTTCCTTAAAACACCGTATTTAACCCTGAAAGTGCAAGAGAAATAGGGACTGATGTTCACTGACATTTTGCTGTTTCATCTGGGTGGAAAACACTTGGCTGTTGCAGTAAGTGACAGGTCTGAATCTCAGATCAGCTGCAGCAGATCCAGTGGATTGAGGCTGGATCCTGACAAGGACTCTGGTGGAGGATTCTGCTGCCTTTGGTTTGCTGGACTGTAACCCAAAGTGGTAAGAATATGAGTTTGCCGTCTCTTGGTTTCAGAAGAGTATGGTTAAGAGTACAGCTTCTTTAAGACTATTGGAAATTAATAGCTTTCATGATTAAATTTAAAGGTTCTGCAGTGATATCCATCCTAATTGTTAGCGTCTTCTCATCAGCCGGTGAGTACAGCAGAGAGCGCCACGTTTCCTAGGAATGCAATTGTTCAATTAGATAAGTGATTTCTCAACTTCGCTCACATATTGCTTGAAAAAAATCTTTGTCTTTTGTGAACCTCTCTGAAATTGTCAGCAAACCCCAAATTCTGTCGTGGCCGGAGCCTGGAATAGAGTTTTAGTGTTTTTCAAAGTTAATTCAAAAAACATGGCTTGGGAAATGAAAAATCCTATAAACTGACATTTTGGCTTCTTACCATGACCCACTTCTCCGTTCCTCCCTCACTCTGTTTCAAAGGGATTGTGTCTTCGATTCTTGATACCTTCATTCTTATTTTAGCCACTCTTACTAGTTTAAATGCACATATTTTCTGGGTGAGGTCTTGGAATTCTTGAGGAATTTTGGTTTATTTTAAAAATTAGCTTGTGTATTTTGTTAATGGATATAAAAAGCTTACTGCATCTGTTTGGTGGAACACATTAAGAAGTGGCAGTTATGACTTTGTGCTGTATTCACAGCTTTGTTGAGTAATTACTGCCAACATCTGCATGCTTTACTTGGTTTATAGCTGCGCTGCTCTGAGTGTGTTTTTGTAATCTTCCTCCTTCTGAGGGATACGGCAGAGAAAACAACCACCCAAGCGGTCGCTGTAGCATTTCATTAAGGAGCCTTTTCCACGGAGTTGGGAAAGGCTCCTTTCCCACTTGGCAGCCGAGCACGAATGAAAGAGCTCCTCTCAGCTCTTTTCCCTGTGTTATCATATGCCCTTCAGCTTTTGGCCGCAGACTCGCAGCTTTGCCTGGATTGCCATCATTCTGAGGGTGTTTTTCACTTAATGGTTCTGCTTGTTCTTGACTACACCGGGAGTGAAAGGCTTCCTTATAATTGCCCCGCTTGCTCAAAGCGGTCTGTCTGGGAATGTCCAAAGGTCTATAAATATTGTGACTTAGAAGTGCTCCTCAGTTGGCTGGCCAAAATGTGTGAGCAATTGAGTAGCATCCCAGGAAGACTTCAGATAAGACTGTCACAGAATTAGGAAGGAATTAATAGTTAAGAAATATATTGATATTATAATCAATACCCTGAGCATAAATGAATTCTGAAGTATTTTCCTTTTGCATTTCTTTCTTCATGGGATCTCAAAAGCATTTTAGGAAAAACTGAGCCAGTTATATCCTGGGAAGTACTTATTTTTAATTACCACACTAGGAAATTGCTGTGTTAGAACGATTTATGTAAAAACTATCAGTGACTCAATGCTGGGAAAAGTATCCAGATTTTGTCCTGTATGTAATTTTTTTTTTTTTCTGCAAACATGTAGGCCTTGCTGAGGGACTACCATTTTTTCTTCATTGCATCAAGTGGTTGTTCTCCCTTTCACCGTCTGGTTTGGCCATCTGAATTGAACAGCTTGCAGGCTGCAGTGTGGGGCCTGAGGGTGTTTTCAGCGTGAAAATGCTTTGGTGCAGCCTCCTGTCCGTGCTTTGCAGAGGTCAGCGATTCCACTAGCCAGAGACCGGGCAAGAGCTTCGCTAACGATCCGAGCATGCGTAGTTGGTGCCTTCATGTTTCTGTAGACGGTAAATGTGGTAGGGATCCGGCTATGGTGTGGTGGTTGGGTTTCAGATTTAAGTGGAAGTCTAAAGAGATCAGTTTTCTTCATATTGCTCACTCATGACAGTGTTACTCCACAGAGATTAACAAAAAGTTAATACTTGCTGATCCTTTAAAGCTTTCTATATATAGGGTCTTTCATTCCTTGTAGTCTTTTAGGATGTGAAGTGCAGCCATTTTGGAAGGACTTCTTTCTGCTCTTAAATCCCTTATTTTAGTTTCAGATCTGATTCTGAGTTCTGTAATATACTTTTCCACCCTTTTTAAAGGAAGTTGCTCGTTATGTTAGGCTAACTGGTAGACAGCAGGTTGCCTGCAGGCCACTGGGGCCATCGAGTGTGGGAGTGTGGCTAGTGACGCGGGAGCCTGTATTCAGCTGTGCCGGGCTACACGTTATTGAACTTTTCCGTACTCCATTTTTTTCCCCTCCTGGTCACACAGTGGTTTGTGTTCAACTCCCAAGAGGTTTTCAGGAAACTTAAGCTAATGTTAAAAATAGTTTTGGGATAGATGCTGTGGGAAATTACAGTAGTGCTTGCTGGTTATGGGCATGAAGGCTGAGAACCTGCGTGTTAGTATTCTGCCCTGAGAACCAGTGCTGACCCCACTGACCAAGATGTGGCAAAGAGATACGCATGTGAAGGATTCTGTGACGCTGGTCCAGCATGCTCTTGTGTGTGCATAAAATATTTAAGGCGAGGTACAATGTATTTGCAGATCAATTGCATGTTGTATAAGTTGTTCTTTCAGCATCTCCGATCAAGTGTGTATTTTCTACTGTCAAAAGTTTTTTTCAGTTTAAAACTCAAGAGTTTAAACTTCCCGCGGGAGTTGTCTGGACCTGAATCGCTCTCGGGCAATGTGTTTAGAATCCCAAATCTTTTGCTTCCCGGGAGAAGTCACCCAGGCTTTGTTAAGCATTTGGGGGCAATGCCATCTCCAGTTTTGGCAGATGTGATCCGCTCGCCCATATCCAGGAGGACAGATGGCTATCTCTGTAGAGGAAAGGGCTCTTTGGTGTTTAGCATGCCCTCCCTTAACATGAAAATTCCCATTGCAAAGATAGCATGGCTACCCCAAATACAGGCATTTAGGAATATCTTAAATATCTTCAAGTAAATTCATTTGCCAGCTTTCTTTTGTCAGACCTTCTGAGGTGTGTTATGCTGGAGAGCAGGGCTGCTGTTTGAGGGGCCTCAACTGGCTGCAGGAAAGTCTCAAAATAACAAACGTGGTTCCACCTGAGCTTACTTGGGGCATGGAGGAGCTGGCTTTTATCCCTCTGCAAGTGCAAGGTTTGAGAGAAAAGCCAAATAATTATTCTGCTTGTACAGAAGCTGTTAAACCAGTGAAGCTGCCGCTCCTCTGAATTGTGTGTGTTCACCGCGTGTCCTGATGGTGGATTCTAATTCTGGTATCGCTAGGCTCTAAACGACAGCAGTGTAAATTGTTGTGACGTGACTGCTGCTTGGAGTATGAAGTCCCTGCGTTAAAATCCAGTTGCTGCCTTTCCTCACCTGGATCATTGCAGTGCCTCTTTGCACTACGGACCTCGTACAATTTCTTTTTATGTCGCCTGCTATTTATTAAAACGAACATTCTCTGCTTCTAGCAGAAAACTTGCATGACTTGAAGCATAAGTATCACTCTAGGACATTGTAAAAGACCAATGAATGGTTGGGATAATATACAAAATTTTGTGTAAAGGGGAGAAATGTTAATTAAAGGCAGACCAGTAGACTTCTATGTTGAAAATATCTTTTTGGTGGAAGGTAATGGTATTCAGGCAGGATTTTACTTTGGAACTAGGTAATCTGTGTCTGACCTGGTTCCTCTGGCAGTTGATTTATTTATATTGAATGTGAAATGCCCTGGTGCATGTGTGGCTTTCTAAGGAGAGATTATTTCTCTGCTTTTAAATTCTCATGATTTCTGTAGCAGATAGCTTCAGTACCTAAATCATCATTAACTGTGAACTGAAAGAATCTCTGACTGAGCTAAGCCTACTTCTAAAGTAAAATCTGTACAGATATTTTTAAACCATGCATTTGCCACATCCCTCCCACAAGCACAGACGTGATTGTTTGGAAAGAAATGAAGGACCAATATTTAAATGTAAACATGGTGACATTTGGCTCTCTGAATTACTGAGAAATTCATACAAAGAACTGTTGCTGATCAAAATGTGTAAATGGCAAAACCGCTCGTTTGAGTTGTGAACCAGGGAGGGGGTGTCCTTGCCGTGGTCCCCTCAGGCGGGAGGGCTGATGTGGGTGCACGTCTGCAGTGCCATCTATATACAGCGTGCCCAAAAGAAGAGTAACTCAGCATTTTCTTCAGTCACCTTAAATTTGTGGGCTATTAATAGTGTTTGACATAGTTTTTTCTAAACATGTAATGGCTGGGTGATCTCCGGCTTCCCACTGCAGTAAGTGACCACTGTATGTTCTGGGAACGGTGGGACTCAGGTTTTTTTTCAGACCCCTACGTACACGATCTCCATTGAACAACTTTTTTTTTCCTACAAATCTTTGAAGCTAGGGCTCTGGACTGAACAGTGCAATTGTGAGGGAGAGGGAGGAGAATGGAAACCATGGAAGAAACATCTCGGTGTACTTTCGGTTTTGAAATAGAATTGTGCTGTTTCCTATTAATGAGTAGTTTCATCAGATTTACGTGCTTACCTAAATAGCGTGTGTGTGTGACGTTTGGTGCTTGCAAACGATGACTTCTGCTGCTTCTCCCCACTAACATGCTGGAAATCTATAAAACTGGTAAATAAGCACAAATTTTTGTTTGTTTTCCTCAGGCAAAATACATCTCCCAGTGCATCGATGAGATCAAGCAGGAGCTAAAGCAGGATAACATTGCCGTGAAAGCAAATGCAGTCTGCAAACTTACATATGTAAGTGCCTTGCTGGGATACGACGTAATCACATCTGTATTTTTTTCTTTCTTGCTGACTAGGGGCTGGTCTTCGATCTGAAGGCTGCTTTTCTTACACTACAGTTTCTTAGGCTGTTGTAAGTGCAGGCTGCAGGCGAGAACGCTCCCACGTGTCTGATGTCAGAGGCTGCACGTTCCCATTCTGTTCATTGTGCTGGCACTAGTAGTGGTACAATTTTGTGTTATTGAGATAGGTCAGGAAGCTAAGCTGATTTAAAACCAATCCAATTTAAAAAGTTGTTTTCCGCTGCGTCGTTTCTTCCCAAACAGTTGCATGAACACTTGAAACTGGTGTTTGTTTCTCTTTGCACAGTCCTTTGTCGAGAAGGAGAGGAGGGAAATACTGTTAAAGAATTATTTTTGTGGTTCTGGTTTTTATTTAAAAAAAAGAAATCCAGGAAAAAACCCCTTAACAATGATGCTTATATAACTGCATATGTAGTACCTGGAATTAATGGAAACTATTTAAAACTTTCTTCTAGTGGAACTTCGAGACTTCTTTCCCTTACTGTGAGTGGCATAGAATGTAACATTATTCATAAACTTGAGGTGTCTTATAGTATTATTTTTGGACTCTTGTTCCGTCTTCAATTTTTGGACGTATCTTTACCTCTTTTCTTGAGTCTCTTATTTCAGAAGTTTGTTATCTTGGCTTCTCTGCTCACAGTTACAGATGCTGGGCTACGACATCAGTTGGGCTGCTTTCAATATTATTGAAGTCATGAGTGCATCGAAGTTTACATTCAAAGTGAGTTCTCTGTGTAACTACAACTGTACTCGCCAAGCTGTTTCATTACTGTATTTAATAAACGCATTGGTACATCATCTTTTGGTCTGCTTTCTTCAATACGGAAAGGGAGTAGACTGTATTTGTTTCTAGTATATGGATAATACTTGACCTGCTAGTACAGGCTTTTTCTACCAGAGGTTTGACAACAGCTGTCAAATATCTTCTGTGGAAAAAAAAAAGGGTATTTTTTTGTGAAGACCACCTAAGATTCCTAGTAGCAGCCATATTTAGCTTTATAATTTTTCTTGAAAGGTCTTGTCTGTAACATAGAGCATGAACGTTTTTCATCAAATGGAGTAGAATGTTACCTCGTAAGGAATAGCTTCCAAATTGGGCTTTAGTACCTGAAAGTCAGGAGTCAAGGAGTGTTGTTCTTGCTTTGTACTAGATGCAACACGGACAAAATATATGTAATCTCCATTTCTCCTACTGACAATCCTACATTATTTCTACATCTTTGTGGTCGTTGAACGTATATGTTCTAACAAAGTAGAGGAGGTGAAGCTAGTTTAATATCCTTAAGATAGGTGTATTATCCCTGGAGGTGTTACTTGTCTGAGATTAGAAAAGGGGGTTTATATTGGGAAAGAATAGAGACCGCTGTCATGTCTTTTCTGTTATGCAAACCTCCTGTCTAACTGTTCATCTTTTTAATATTGCTCATGAAGTTACCAGTTGTTGTTCATCTCAACATTGTCTAAACTTGCTTTTAATTTTTTTTTCTCCTTGCCTTTTTACAGAGAATCGGTTACCTAGCTGCCTCTCAGTGCTTTCATGAAGGGACTGATGTAATTATGTTGACTACTAATCAGATCCGAAAGGTAAAACTTTTGACTTCAGTTCTTAATTTTTTTCTTATGTTGTCTCCCTGCTTGTATTTTCAAATCTGTATGAAGTATTGCTCTTTTAGGAATCTAAGGTGTTTAAGTAGAATTCTGTTTACTTGGTTTACAGTCTACTCTCATTCCACAAGCTGAAGGATTAATGAAATACTCCGGAGCGCCTGTCCAGAGGCTTCCCTCGTGCTGCCTCATACCAGCTCTCCGTGTTTATTTATCACAGTGAATGGTGACAACAATAACCTTTGTTAATATTACTGGGCTCTCAGGCAGCCCTTATAAGAATGTAATGGGTAAGAAAAATGTCCCCATTCCTGAAGTAAAATAAGCAGTCACCTGGCTGCACAAATTCCTATCTGTGAGGGCCTGTTTTCTTCTGGTAATAACAGATCAGACTTGTTTGGTATAATTGCGTGTAAAAATGGTGAAGAGTGTATGGAAAGTTGTGTTCTGTATTAATGTACCGAAATGCATTGTATTCATTTTCATAGAGCTTTATCACTTGAATTTTTTAGAGTTATAGGGTTGCAGGATTATTTTCCTATTCTTCCTATTATTCAGATTACAGATATATTTTTAAAGCTCTTAAGTTTAATTTTTTAAAGTATCACTGCTTTAAAAGATCCAGTACAAGATGTGCCTACATTTTTACCATCTAAGTAGCTAAAATGTCTTTTACTTGCTTAAAAAAGATCAGTGGGATGTTATCCAGGATCTTGCCTAAAGAACTCGTGCTTTTCCCTTTGTCTTTTAAACTGTTCTGCTCTGACAAGTACCTTTTTTTAATAATGTCCATCCATTTTCTTTATTATGGAGATTTTAGTATACTGAATTTCAGTCACTTACTAGGCTACTCCTTCCTTTTTGTGCCCGAGTGTTTACTTAAAGGCATAAGTAAAGATGCTTTTTCATGTTTCGTTAATCTAGCAATCCCTTGTATTTTAAGGGTTTGTCAGTTCTCAAAATACATTAAAGCCAGAATAAATTGCAAAGTTTTGTTGCTCCTTAAGAAGCAGATTTCATTATTCTTAAAGTAGAACCTAATTTCCTACCACCTGCAAAGGGTTTTAAAATGAGATGCAAATGGCACAGAACTCGGTAAGGCCTGGCTATGTTTAGCTCTCCTGAAGCAGCCTCCGTGCGCACGTGAATCTGGACGGTTAATGCCGGTAGCTCACGTGGGAATGCTCTGTGCAGTTCGCTTCATATTTTTGTTTCCTAATAACTGCAGTTAAGGAGTGATCCTGTGATGCTCTGTATTCAGTGAGATCTGGTTTTGTAATCTGTACTTGAACGTCCTCAGATAGGAATATTAATATTGTTAAGAGTCCGATGCTTAGAAATACCTGAAAGACTATGTAGGACTGTGTAGGATACTGACTACAAATAAGTCCAAGGAAATGTGACCAATAAAATGTATTCTACACCCTAGCTTAGGTTATGTCTTTATGGACTGAAAGTTACGGTGCTGCCAGCAGCTTGGAAGGAAAGTAATCCCATTTCTCTAACAGAGAGATTAAGCTAGGACACTGCTAAGCACTCGACAAGAGTGCCTGTTGCCAGTGAAGCTGATGAGAGTTGGGCTCTTGCTTTGCAGGGTTAGTATTTAATACCAGGTTTTTAGGACTTTAAACATGTTTGTGATCATGTCATGAGTTTTTAAAAATTATTTGCTATTCCTAAAATGCCACCAAGGTACAATATCTCTAATTGCTTTTATGTTGCAGTCATCCATCTACTGTTTAATGATGATTCCTCATGCTCGTTATCAAACCCCAGGCTGGCTGTATTTTAGCGGCTGTTGGAGGACACTTCTGTTAATAGTTGATATTAATATTCCGATGAAGTAGAAGCTCTGCTTCATATGGGTTGAGTGGACAAAATTGGTCCAAGAAAATTGTTTCTCAACATCCTGTGTGATCTTAAATTTTTGAGCCTGTTTTTCCTTTTTTAGGATCTGAGTAGCCCTAACCAATATGATACTGGAGTTGCACTGACTGGCTTGTCCTGTTTTGTTACTCCAGATCTTGCCAGGGACTTGGCAAATGACATCATGACACTGGTGAGTTGATAAGATTGAAAGAACTTTTTTCTGTAATTAAAGAATGTTAAACTGTTCAAATCTGGTAAATATCTGTTAAGTTTAGAACTGTTACGTGTGAAAACTGACGCTTTGTTCTTGTGGGGTTTGGGGGGAGCCTTTACAGACCTTAGTTAGCTCAAGGATTACCTTAAATATTTCCTGTTAGTTTTGGTGATAAATGACAGTATTTTGCTCTCCCCTCAAAGCTGAGGTTTTGAAAAGTAGTTGAGTCTCCCAGAAAGAAATTTTGAGACAGTGGTGTGGGCATAAGGACCTTGAGAAGAACTCTGGAAACACAAATTTGCCGAAGGCCTGATTGCAATTGTTTCATTAACAGATGTCTCATACAAAGCCTTATATCAGGAAGAAGGCAGTGTTAATCATGTACAAAGTTTTTTTGAAATACCCAGAGTCCCTCCGTCCTGCATTTCCTCGCCTTAAAGAGAAACTTGAAGATCCAGATCCTGGTGAGTGGATTTTAGTAAATTACTTCTGCTCCAAAACATCTAGGTGTACATGCTTGTAGAGCTTGTGGAGAGAAGAATACATGAAAAATGCTGCAGTCATCTTTGGGTGCTGATTCACCTGTTTCATAGGTAGATGAGCGTACGAGAGTTTGGATAGATGTTGCCACATTAAAAATACATTCTTTAAAATGTCCAATTCTTACTTCAAACCTGAAGCTATTGAAACTATATCAGTGCATTGAACCTTAATGGGACAAAGTGACTTAGTGATTCCTTGTTTGTTGCTTGCTGAACTTGGCTATTGAAAATACTTCAGTTGATTTCAGGGTTTAGGTTTTTGTTGTTGTTTCCTGTGCTCTTTTACAAAGCTGCAGCTATTGGCTTGCAATGGATGTACTTAAAATAATTTCATATCATTTAGTAGATTTTTTTTTTTCTATTTTTTTTAAATTTAAACTTTGAGTCCAGACTGCTGTTTGGGCCCTTCAGTACGGTGCCAGTGCAATTCAGCTGCAGCAGGGGAAAACTGCACTTGCTCTGTATCATATTTGCACTTCTGCTCAGTCTTCCCAGAAGGTGCTGGTCTTCCCTTGCTGCACCAAAACGCTGTGCGCTTGTTTCAAGGATTCTGTGTGCAATGCAGTTCTGTGATCTCCAGTTGATTTGTGTGTGTGTTTAGAGGGGGAAATGTAATTGCACGTACTGGACTAATTTGGTGTGGGCATTTAAGATGCATCTTCCAGGGACAATGTTTTTAAAGAAAGCAAAACACACACCCCCCTCACCTGCAAACAGAGGAAGAAATATCTATTATGCTTCATGGAGAAAAGGTCTGCTCTCTACTAGAAAACCCAGGCTGTCTAGATTAAAAGATTCCAAATTGAGAACAATCAATTTAGAGGCTGAGCAATTAGGACGGAATGAACTTGGCCAGTCTGGTTGTTTAAGGATTCATTATTTTTGTGTTGTATTTAAGCATGTCTAAATAATACATTTTAAAGACGCAAGAGTGTTTGGAAACTTTATGGTGGGTAGGATTATTGATTATTATGTTGTCTGTGTCCCACAAACAAGCTATCCACAGTAAAGGGGGAAGGAGGCTGACAGTGCTCTGTTCTTTCTCATACTGAACCCAAAGCAGATACCGAGCTTGCTGATATATTAGAAAATAGCCGAAATTAAATAAAATCCTTTCTCAGTTTGTTTGTGCATTCTTGTGTTTAGTTCACTACCTCATGGTTGGTAATGAGGCTGAACCGTTCCTCTTGGGCACACAAGTCTGAATCTTTAGCTGCTTTTGTTCTGGGGGTTCTGCACCAGAAACTTCAATTACAGTTATGGCATTGATGAGATTTCTGCCTTTCCCATTTCTTTTTCCCAGGTGTGCAGTCTGCTGCAGTAAATGTTATTTGTGAGCTGGCTCGACGCAATCCCAAAAACTACCTTTCCCTTGCTCCACTCTTTTTCAAGTTGATGACGTCATCAACCAATAATTGGGTTCTCATTAAAATTATAAAATTGGCAAGTATTCTGGATCTATGTTTACAGGATTGGGGTTCTTGTTAAATTACTTTGGGTGCGAAAAGAGATTTCTTGCTTGGAGGTATAGTTACCATTAAATCTAAATAAAAAGAAACCAGGAATATCTTCTAGTGTTTGTGAGCATAAGCAAAGAGAGAAAAATATTTTAATATAGCTTGGTTTAAATATAATAAGCTGCTATTTAAATCATGGGTTTATACTGTTTAAAAGCAGCTATTAAATCACTTTCTTGTCTGCACTTCTTTTTTAATAGTTTGGTGCTCTTACTCCATTAGAACCTAGGCTGGGAAAGAAACTGATTGAGCCTCTGACCAACCTCATCCATAGGTACGTGTGACAAACGTTACTTTGTTCATTCGGGACTGGTGAAGTGCCCGTTAGGTGGGTCGGTAGCTAGGTCTGCGGATGTGTTTCTGAACTTTTTCTTGAGTCTCAATATATTGGCTTCAAGTATCAAAAGATAATCATATCGGGACTATTTCTGAAAAACCTGAGTGAGATAAAATACCTTAAAGGAAAAAGTCTTTGGGTGTCTGTCTGTCAGCATGAATTTCTCCAAAGCATGCATGAAAACTGGAGCAACTTACTTTCCTTTCACTTTGTTTTAAGCTGGAGATGATAATGGAGAATGTAGAAAAACTCTGGCTTAAAAGAGGCTCGGCTGTATATTTGCCTCTTCTGTTCACCTACACACATTTGGTTCTTGACTTTTTTGGAAGTGCCTTACCCACCAGAGGAGCATGGCAAGGAGTATATTAAAGTTCTTTGTCAGCCCAGATGTGTTTTGGGAGAGGTTCCTTTAATATATGTCCTAGATATAGATTAGGTAAACTGGAAGATATTTCCTTGTCCCTTGTTAAAGCTGGTTTGTAGTGTTGTTTTGGATCTAATTCTGAACTGAAATCAGAAAGTAGATGTCTTGGATGGAATACGTGTGTTTTCCCAGTTGTGAAAAAGTGTGATCTCATGCATGAGTTGTTAAATTAAAAGGTTGGTTTCTCTTCATGTGGCACAGCAAGAAGATGGATGGGAATGAGCAAATTTCAAACCATGTAGCCATGAGAGCAGCTCTAGCCAAACAATTTCTGTCCATCCTCCTAGTATACCTTTAAGGCTGGTTCAGAGCAGACCAGCCAGCAGCTACCTAAAGAGGGTTTTTGCAGCGGTGACAAATAGATACAAATTCACCAGAGACAGTACTTTGCCAGAAAAAGCAGGAAGATGGACAGTATGTCTTGAATCTTGCCTCTGCCTCCTCTCCCCAACTCCCACGTTAGTCAGTCATTTTATTATTTGTGAGGATTTAATCCTGTTTGGTTTGGTCTCCATTCAGACACTTTGGATCTCGAATCACTTACGCATAAGGCAAACCACCCTGCCATCCACCACGAAGTGCGTAGGCAGCAAAAACGACTGTCTCTGTTCTGAGCGTACCAGAGTCCCGTACCCGGTGTGCTGAGTGACCTTCACGGTATCGCTCCCGACTGCTGCCTCCAGAGTTGTTTGCTCATTACCTTTGCAGACCTTGCTTCTGGAGTCTGCTCCTTTGTTACGTGTGAGGTTTGCTGTGTTTCCCTCTTGCGTAGATCAGGATTTGATACCTATGATTTTCATACCCTTGAAGTCCTCAGAATTGCACTGTATATGTGTTCAACTGGAGGAAGTTCTCTTAAATTTAAGTTTGGGGAAATCGGATGTTGACAATGGGTTGCTCACTTACAGGGATGAGCAAGTGTGTCCCTGCATGTCAGAAGTCTGCTGTTTGTGCGTGGCTCGTTCGCTTTGGAGAGAGAGACTTGAGGTTCTCCATCTGCCTGTCTTATCGTGAATTTTTGACCTTGGCAGATTTGATTTGATCCTTGGACAAGATTGCTTCAGTGCTCTCTAACTGGTACTGAGGTTTTGAGTAACCGCTTCCTTCCTCGTTCCTTGTGTTACAGTGCCGTTACTTGCTGCTTCTCAGAGAAGATTTTTTTTTTTAAACATTCAGTAGCCCTTCCTCCCCTCAACAGTTTTTAAGTGAGAATCATTTCGTCTACTTTGAAGGTATATGGAACAGAAGACTGGCAATTTCTTGTGTAATCAAAGGTGTTAACTAGCTCCAAGATATTGCTGACAACTCTTCAAAATGTGCCGGTTTTATTCCTTATTTAAAATACTTGATTTCTGTTTCAGCACCTCAGCCATGTCTCTCTTATATGAATGTGTGAACACAGTAATAGCAGGTGAGAACTGAAATTTGTAACCTAGAAAAAAAACATGATGAACTTTGTCATCAATTAACACCAACTGTAAACCTTTTTTTAACTTAATGTGTTTTATAACTGAAATAAGTTGCCTGGCAAACTTCTGATTTGTGTTACTGTGTAACTGTAACTGAAATCCTTTGTTGTCAGTTGATGAGGCTAAGTTACTCCAGGTATGTCATATTCGCCAAAGGCTGAAATGAAGTAGGAACAAGGAGTGATTATTTATACGCAAGCTCCTAAATGTTGCTAGAACTACGAAATACACCAGCAGCGACAGAATTAAGAAAAGACTGGTGCCTCATGGAAACTTTGACAAAGTGTTCTTATGTGATGAAGGAGCAGACTTATTTTTTAATTCTGCAATTTCACAGCGTAAAAACTTGGTGTAGTTCCTTAACGGAGGTAATTGGAATCATAGATTTACAGTTTTGGTTTCTGGGGAAGGGATGTGAACTCCATAACAGGGATGGAGAAAGAAAGAAAAGCAAAAAGGGATAACGCAGTATTCCAGCTCAGACCTGGCACTTTTCCTATCATAGCGTGGAAGTAGAGGGTTATTGAGATCCACAGTTCGGCCATAAGCCTGTCTCTTGTGGGTGGTTTGGATAAGGACGCAGGAACTTGCGGTACTGGGTCAGTTCAAAGAGGAAGGGCTGATCTGTCACTCGCTTTGTATTCGTTCATTCCTCCAGGGAAGTATGAGATGACATTATGATGGGGGGAAAAATAACACGGAGGTTAATTCTGTTGTGGATGAGAGTGTGCTTCCCTGAGATACAACAGGATAATTCGGTGGGTCAGAGGGAAACTCGCACACCCAGGACACCTCAGGGGCTGTAACATAAAGCTCAAATTCAGAAAATGAGATGTGAAGCCGTGTGTCTGCATTAGAGCAGCACCTTGCACCCTCTTTGCATGACCCAAAATGACAGCATCCAACACACCTTCTCTGAAATGTAGCTCTGCAGGGTTAAGGAGAGCAAAATGCCTCTATACTTCTTAGTTACTGAGGTCAGCCTGTGTGACTTGCTCAGTAAGAGCTGGGGTTGGCATGGACGTGCTGTATGACAGCAGCAGTTAACAGGGTAACGCCACCTTTTCTGCTGTGGGGTTGCGTGCTGCCAGAGCTTTACAAATGTCCAATATAATCAACAGTGGGACCTGATTTGTGCCTCCAGTCTCTTGCTGGCTTGATTAAAGTTCCAATCTAATTACATTAAACTCTAGGATCCATTGCTGCATCTCGTTACATTAGGGAACTGCACGCTTAAAAATTCAGCTATACAGGAGCTGATGACATATTTACAATCTTGACTGCTACGCGATATCGGTAAAGTAAACCTTAATGAGAGCAAAGCGTAATGAAAAGCAGCTTTGACCTGCAGTTCCTACCTTTACGCTTTTTTGCCCTGCCCTGCTATTATTACTCTCAAGATATATGAAACTATAGATTGTGGCACAGCCGTCTCTCCTCCCCTCAGGCCCCCCCAAAAGTCCAAGCAAACAAACAAACAACAAAATAAACAGGCACCTTTCCCTGTGAGCTGAGCTAGCTGTTGACCTTTAGGTGTTGTGTTGCATTCATTCAGAACGCAGAAATGCTAACTGAAATCTGTGCTTGTGTATTTCAGTTTTGATCTCGCTGTCCTCTGGGATGCCCAATCACAGCGCCAGCATCCAGGTACGACGCTGGGGTTTGGTGGGGTTATTTGTTCTGCTCTGCTGTGTAATAACAAGTGCCATGGAGAAATTGGGTTGTGTTCGTCTGTCAAAAGTGAAAGCAATAGCTCCCTACAGACTGAAGCGTTTCCTATATAAATTATCTTATTGCCTTTGCTCTAAAATGCAGATTTTTCTCATTTAGACTTTTCCTAACTCTTATTCGCTGCTACTATCAATCCAATCATACAGAGGTTCCTTTTGTTTTGAAGTCTGTTAATGCAACAAGACCCTCTCACTAGAGGCCCTGGGTCTTGGTCAGAATGCTTCCTTGTGTAAGGAAGCTAAATAAACTTTATGAAGAGTTATTTTAATTAAGACTTTTAAGGCTTCTAATAAGCATGGCATGATCTTCTTTCAGCTTTGTGTTCAGAAGTTAAGGATATTGATAGAAGATTCTGACCAGAACTGTAAGTATGTTGCTTGTCTTCATGGAAGCTTTTAGCAACCAACCACTGGGGAGAAATTGCAGCAGTCTTAGAGGAATGAGCCGTTTCTCCAAACGGCTTGTTCAGTATTGTAGTGCCTGGTACGCTGTAAACAATTGCTGGGTTTTTAAATGTGGAGATAATTTTTGATAGTGAGCACTTCTTATAATGAGCTTTTTTAAAACCAATGAGATTAATTATTACAACTGTTTGTGGTCCTGTAAATCTAAGAGTTCTCTTTCTGTGCTCTGGGTTTTCCCTTTTTATGAACTTGCTGCTTGGAAAGTAGTGAGGGATGTTCTGTAGTGTAACTTATTTTAGTGACTGCAAAGAACACTGGGAAATCCTTTTTTGTGCAAACCCTTTTCCTGCCTTATGAATTTTTCCCATTGAGAACAAGGCTGCTACTTAATACGCCAGTCTCGTTAGTGCTTTTAAAGCTGTGCTCATCCTAGGATGCCTCTGCTCAAAACCTGTAGTTGCTATATAAATCAGTGATAAAACTTGAGGTGCAAGAAGTCTGTAACAAAGAATATATATGTAATTATGTGCCTGTATATGAGATTATGAAATTAAAGACCGTAATCTGTGATACACTTTCTCAAAAATTCTCTTCCTCATGATAGATTCTGGAGTGTATTAAAGATGATTTCAGTAGAAGCACTTGGTATTAAGATTTCATGCTCAACACAAAACAGTGTTTCTATATTTGGAAAGAAGTTTTATTTTGTCTTTCACAGTGAAATACCTGGGACTGTTAGCTATGTCCAAAATCCTGAAAACGCATCCTAAATCAGTTCAATCTCACAAGGATCTCATTCTCCAGTGTTTGGATGACAAAGATGAGTCTATCCGACTCAGAGCTTTAGATCTCCTATATGGCATGGTATGTTTCCACATGTATTTCCTTTCCTCTCCAGCCCCCATGACCCTTTCGTTAGGAGGCTGATGTTTAAGAAAAACATGCAACTTTCTCTTCCCCTCTCCCCAGTAGTCTGGTGATAATAACTCCCATACCTTCTCTGGCACTTAGGACAAGTAAAAGATCTGGCACAGCATGAGAGGGCTTTAAAAACTTCGATTCAGAGTGGAGTTTCTGAGTTCAGGTGCTGTGGAAGTCACTCAGAAGGCTGGTTTTCTAATGCCTAAGCCTTAGCTGCTCCTTCTGTCCTCTGTCTAGGTTTAACGTGGACCATAGGCCTATTTGGACAGGTCCGTGCACTTCTGCGTTGCAGTCCACATTGCAGCACGCCATAGCTCAGGTTGACATAAGTTACGCAAAGTCTGGGAAACAGTCTGGAGCAGTCTGAAACAACAGGAGAAGGCAGCTTTAAGCTGCTTTATCAAATTTGCCCTCGTTGTAAATTTTGTTACGCCTTTTAATGACAGGTACAGAATCTCATTCTGTTTGGTCTCCTGTGTGCCGCCAGTTTTGTGCCTGCATTCTGCAGCTGTGCAGGGCAGTTTATAAAATGTGCGTCGGCTGTAGAGGCAATCTTGTAGTGACAACATCTGCTCTCTGAAAGGGCTGTAGTTATGATTTATATAGTAAAGTGCCTTTCACTCAGGAGTCTGTGCCACATATGCACCCAAGGGGTTGTGATAGATTTGTCTCATAGCTTCGTATTTTAGAGAAGTGAAAAATAAGGAGAACACCTTTTGTCTGGTAGTCTTCACCAGAAGAGAATAACTTCATTAACATTTGATCAGAAGAGTGGTTTTAATGTTGTTGCAAAGAGAATTCGAGTTCGTTCTTAGTTCCTGGAGGTTAAATTCTGCTTGTTATGTCTTTAGTCAAGAGATAACCTAGGAGAAAGAGTCTACCAGTTTGCTCAACCCTGCCTCTGAGGAAGAGTGCTGTGTAATGAATGACTGTAGAAATACTATTACATACATTTTTTGTTAGTGGTGTCTTTAACATGTACCCGTTGAGAGATCATAGCTGGAAGCAGCGAGTCACAACAACTGGTGAGATTCGCTGAATATTTTGGTCACTTTATTTAAATAAGTTTCCAGAGCAAGTTAATACAACTATGTTTTGAAATGCTGGAATTCTATTGGATGTTAATGACTTTAAATTTGTTTAGTTTAGAAGCAAAAAGGTCTAAGAGGTGGGTCTGATTTCTTGTTGACACATGATGCAGGTCTGTCAAAGAGCTAGCAGCTGCTTTAATGGAATTAGGAGGACTTGACAGTATGGGAAATGGCTTGGTTTTGGTTCAACCCTTCAATAACTCTTTAACAGGTATCGAAGAAGAACTTGATGGAGATAGTGAAGAAACTGATGATTCACGTGGATAAAGCAGAAGGGACGACATACCGGGATGAGCTGCTGACCAAAATCATAGATATTTGTAGTCAGTCCAATTATCAATATATCACAAACTTTGAATGGTCAGTGCTTTTAAGTGTCAACTTTGAGATCATCAGCAATGGTGATGCGTGATTGTCTGCTGATAAAATTGCATCCCTTTCACTTTTTGTAGGTACATAAGCATCTTGGTGGAGCTGACCCGGTTGGAAGGCACACGACATGGGCATCTTATAGCAGCTCAGATGTTAGATGTAGCTATCAGAGTTAAAGCTATTCGTAAATTTGCAGTTTCTCAAATGGCCATGCTTCTGGACAATGCTCATCTCATAGCCAGCAACACCCAGAGAAATGGGATCTGTGAGGTGCTTTATGCTGCTGCTTGGATTTGTGGGGAGTTCTCTGAGTAAGTGCAAACAGAAAGCCTGACGCGCTTTGAGCGGCTTCTTTTGGGCAAAGATTCTGGTCACTGAAATGTGTTTTTGAGAGAAGGATAGTTCAGAATATGCACCCTAAAGCTAACAAAATGATTGCTTCTTTCCCACTCCCTCACCCCATAAGACTCCCCAGCTGTTTCTAGCCAAGACAGATACTTCACTTTGAGTATCTGGTCTCTTTTCTTATCTCTCTAGTCCTGCCCACTCGCGCAGGAAGGCGTAATTGTGGGTATAAGCAGTAAGGATAAGACATTGAAGAAACTCCTTTACCATTAAGGTCTAACCCCACTTATATCATAGGGAAAATGTCCAGTCACCATGTTTGACTGAATTAGTTTTTGCTCTCCTCCTTATTTTGCGCTTGTTGAGAGGTTTTTACAGAACCTAATCTTCCTGAGGATTAGAAGTCATCTTTTTTGCTTAAAACTTATCTGTACCCACAGTAGCACAATTTTCAATGTTATTGTGCCAACGGTGTCTTTTAGCTTAAGTAGATGATTTTGTCTCTTGGTTGTGTGTGCATAGACACGTGCTTACCTAGCTTTCATTTTGGTAAGCTGGCCAGACCATGATACTGTAGTCTCCTGTTATCATCTCGTTTGGTGTCTGTTCTTGTAATTGCCACTCTGAACACTGGTTCCAGTTTAAATTCACAGAGTAGGTGTGATATTTTTGGGAAACACTAGTACGGCTCAGATCTTTGTTTAATTAAAGTTCTGCAAAGAAAACTGTAGATTAAGAAGCAAGAGAACGTAGTCTCCTTTTTCAGTTTGATCACGTTTTTACTTTGAAAGAACTTTAGCTTTCCATTCATAATGGACCAGTAACATCTTTGTGCTTCTTCCATTTAGTCGTGAGCAGACGGTTTTGAATAAGAGCGTGAGATTTATTAAAACAAGTGTTATGATCTGCATTCTTTTCAGTGTGTTAAGCATTGCCTACTAGATTTTATTTTTGTTCAGTAAGTGATTGGAAATACAACCTCATTGATGCAAGTGGTGAAGTACAGAATGGCAGGAAGGTAGTTGGGCTGCTAGATCCAGACTGTCAAAGGAGTTGGCACTTAGAAGTGAAATGCTTAGTTAATGGAGAGAATGCTGAACTTGTGAAGGTGGAAACGGAGGTGTCCCTCCCCTTCTGTAAAAGGGTAAAGCTGTAAATTCTTCTGTGCCACGTTACTACTGTAATTGGGAAGGGGAAAATACGCAAAGAACAAGTGATTGTGTATTTGTAGCCTGTCCTGTCTTTCTGCAACTGTTTGTACTGCAACTGAGGTTTTGGAGAAATTCTTCTTCGTGAAGACTGATGAAATGTTGAAATTGCTCAGTTGCTGTCTTTCATCTGTCCACTCTCTTTATAGACACCTCGAGGAAGCAAACCAAACTTTAGAAGCAATGTTGAGGCCTAAAGTTACAACTCTACCAGGCCACATCCAGGCGGTTTATGTCCAGAACATGGTGAAGCTCTATGCATCCATCCTACAGCAGAAGGAGCAATCTGGGGAAAAGGAAGCAGCTCAGGAGATTACCCAGCTAATGATTGACCGTTTGCCTCAGTTTGTACAAAGTGCAGATCTAGAAGTTCAGGAGAGGGTAAGAGAACAAAATTACTTTGGAATTTATCATACAAAGTCTCTCATTTGTCTTGGAGCATGTATGTAATTTTCTGTGGACCTGCACGTTTTATATAAGCCCTTGTTATCAGTGGAGTGGTGCGTTTGTTCTGTACTTTGTGTAACTTGGTGAAAGAGAAGCTCTAGAACTAGAGGACTGGGAACTAGAGGACTGGGAACTAGAGGACTGGGAACTAGAGGACTGGGAAGAGTGGTGACATTTCATGTCGGAGCCCAGATCTTATTCCAGTTTGATACAGCCTCTGAAGACTGCTTGCAACAATTTCACTCAAAAAAATGTAGTTTTAAAATTATGCGAGCACATAAGGACACAGCTAGAAGAGAGGGTTAATGTGGATTTTTTTATATTTGCTCTAAACCTGCAGTTATGCCGCTTCCCTTAATGCCCTTAATGGAGCAGAACAGTTATCTGCTGCTGACGTTCATTGCAGTTGATTTTTTTGGTTCGGTTTGTTAATAGTAATCCTGAAGTTACTACTTCTTCTGTTTTTAGGCTTCTTGCATCTTGCAACTAATAAAATACATTCAGAAGTTACAAATAAAAGAAGTACCTGTAGCCGAGGAAGTAATAGCCCTGTTTGCTGGTGAGCTGAACCCTGTGGCTCCTAAAGCACAGAAGAAAGTGCCAGTTCCAGAGGGGTGAGGTTCCTTCTCTCTCCCAAAGCCTTATTTAAACTTCTAAACTCTTAAATAGTAGAGCTAAGTATGTGATGGGAAACTCTGAAATACTCTGGGGTACTGAGTCAAGCTATTTGTTTGTTTACTGCAATTCTTACCAGCTTGGACCTTGATGCCTGGATCAATGAACCTCCATCAGACAGTGAGTCTGAAGATGAAAAGCCCAAAACAATATTTCATGATGAGGATCAAAGGCATTCCAGACACAGACAGCCAGAAATAGACGAAGAGGAACTGGCCAGAGTGAGTGAATGTTAAAACGCTTTTCCCTGCATAATTCAGTAGTAATGTTGTAAGTGCTACTAAAGCTGTTGGGGCTGTTGGAGATTCTCCACGTAGCCAGGGAGCCATTCTGCTCTCTACAGCTCAGGAAATCTGATGATTTGATGTGATCAAAATAATGTATTTGAACACAGGTATTTTTTTTTAGGCATTGTGGAATACGTCCGATATAAAGTTCTCTTGGAAGTCTGGCTTGCCTCTCTTGTCCAAATGGAAGCAAGATACTATAAAAACTTGTCCCTTGTTAGGAGTTTTGAGCTTTTGTAAAAATGACCTGTAAACTGTGGTGTCTAATGCAGTTCACTTCGCAGTACAGGGTCTTGAGGATGGACACTTGTGCTGAGCTCTGCAACTTTGTTTTTTTACACACCTCCTCCATTGGTGTGCTTCTGCTATTCTGTGTGCTCTGTATCAGCAGAAAAAGAAGCAGCATCTTTGCTCGTGGACTTCAGCAGCTTCTATGAATTACTGTAATGTGACTGTTCCCAGCAGTGATACCGCCTTTCTTGCTTCTGACCTTTTTGTTTTCATAGAGAAAACTTTTTATGGATAAGAATCTTCACTTCTTCCTCTGTTTGGAAAAAATGAAAATAGAAACGTTTGAATTGCCATCAAAATCTGGTCTTCAAAAGTTACTCTCTCTAGTCTAGAATGAAAAAGCAAAGGAAGTATGTTCTAAGGAATATTAGTTATGGTAGTAACAGTACCTGTAGTTATATTCTAGTATGTCTTGTAACTCAAAACTGGTTTGTTATACTCAAGCTACTGTGCTGTAGTCTTTTTGCAAGTAGTTCCAAAAATTCAGGGAGATTGCATTTTGCACTTTGGTGCCTTTTATCTCTCTTTGCTTATAAACAAGCATTCTAACTACAAATACTCTTTTGCTTTCAGCGTCGAGAAGCCCGGAAACAAGAACAGGCAAACAACCCGTTTTATATTAAAAGCTCTCCTTCCCCACAGAAGGTGAGTGAGTCTGAATTAAAATCTCTTGCTGGCCTCTCATGTAATTGTCTGAAGGCTCAATGAATGTCAGAGCTGCAGCTTCCCTCTGGGACATTCTGATTTCTGTGGTAGTTCTGATCACTGGATAGTGTGCTGATTGGAGTGGCTACCTACAAGTATTTTTGTCAGCCTTGTTTCTGTTGAGAAACTCAAAAATGACCTGGTATCACAAGAGCAGCCAGCTTTCTCTGAATCTCTGGTGGACCTCCAGTTTAGAAATCAGAAAGTGGTAATTGTCACAGTTCCCATTACAGAGTAGTTCGGAACAATCTGGATTAACTTGTCATGGAAAGCGCAGTGTTTCTATTTCAGCAAGGACTCTCTAAAAGCTGTAGAGAGACACTTCTTTGTGCCCTTGCGTCGCAAATTCCTGTGCAGGTAGTTTGTCCCAACTCTGTGTGATGGAAGGGTTCGGGTTGTCAGGCACTTCATTAAGAGCAACAAAGAGCGAGTGAACCTTGGACATCCTCCTCTTGAATGTGCAGTGTGTTTTATGGATCAAAAGGGCGTTATGGTCTCTTCTTAACACCTTGTTCAGGGAAAGAACCTGCTTTATTCCCTGTATATCTTAAGGGCTGCCCAATTTTCCTCAACTCAAATCTCATATTTTCTCTTTTGAAGTGGCAAGTTATTAGCAAAAAACCACAAACCAAAAATTCTTCGGAGAGTTGTAGCAAGCCTTCTTCAGGGCAGTAGCAGGGTTAAAAAACTGTAGCTAAAAGCAGGGTCTTTCAGAATATTTATCAGCTGGCTTTAAAATACAATCTGCTACCACACTGGATTTAGTACTGAGCTCTTCCATTCCTATCCTGTAAAATGTTCACTTAAAGGATTAAACTGCGTGATGTTTTGAAATGTGTCTATTTATATAGATTTGTATCTGGCAATGCTCAGAATGTAACAAATTTTCATTTTCCTAGCGATACCAAGACACTCCAGGTGTGGAGCATATACCTGTGGTCCAGATCGACCTTTCTGTCCCCTTAAAAGTTCCAGGTAAGTGCAGCTAATCTTCAAAATTAATTACAGAAATTCAGTTAAGCAAAAGTAATAATTCTTTCTTAGGAATGCCTCCTGAGGTTTTTCAGGTCAAGGAGCGTACTTTCATTAGACTCTTAAATATATCTCCTTAACTTACACGTGTTTGAAAACAGTACTTTGCAGTCCAAGACAGTATTAGAAGTAATTCTGTGATTAAGTATATTGTGCAGCCAAGTCTGTAACGTGTAAACTAAGCACTGTTCTGTGTAGGCAACAGTCACCTTTGGAATGTCTTAAAGGGCTGGCAAAGGTGATCAGGAGACATTCGGTGGAGTCTAGTGGTAGAGATACTGTTTTTATATCTTGTTTCAAAAATCAAAAGGGAGTTTGTATATCTAACGAGTGGTTTGATACAGCACTGGAAAGCTGTTGATAAAGTGCAGTACATTGCAAGCGATGAGTTCTAAGTGCAAATACTTAAGGCTTACATAACAGAGTTTTCTCCAAAAGTGTGGAAAGTCGTCAGTATTAGTACAGCAATGGCACCACTTCTACTTCAAATATTGATGTTTAGGTGCTCTTTGTAATCCCGTTAATGTGGACGAGAATCAGGGAGCAGGAGAGAGCTGTGTCCTATTTCTGGAGAGATGGAGTGTGATAGTAAAGCTGGTGCTAGAGGGGCCGTATGTCAGATGATACGGAAGCATAGAGAGGTGTTGATCCTTCTAATTCCGAGAAGCTAGAAGCAAGGTTCACTCCTAATATATTGTTTCAGTGATCAATGTCCATGTGGACTGTAGCCTGAAAGCAGTTTGGCTTCCTCTTTTTTTTTGGAGGTGAAACTGGAAGAGGAGCGAAGACATAAACAGAAACTGGAGAAAGACAAGAAAAAGAAAAAACAGAAAAAGGAGAAGAGAGGTAAACATCACCGCCATAACTCTCTGCACACGGAGAGTGAGGAGGATATTGCGCCAGCTCACCATGTCGATATCATAACAGAAGAGATGCCAGAGGTCAGTTGCTTTGGTTGGTGGTCTGAGTTGTGGGGTTTATCTGTGTGCTGCTCTTGAGAGATTCCCCCCCCCCAGCATTGCCAGCCAGTCGGCATTGTTGCAGTTCAAGAGCTCTGATTTCTTGCAAAACCGTTTAAGAAATGACTGATTGAGATGGTCCTAGGCTGTTCTTTGCAGGGGGAGAAATGATTGTCTTTTTGTGCACAAAAAGACAAAAATCGCCACTGATGCTATTAAAAGGAAAAAAACCAACCAACAAAACAAACAATATGCATCTCTGCTATAAAAGTAGCGCTGTCCAAATAGACACTCATTTATTATGCTCTGCCGCTTCACTTTGACATTAACTTGCTGTCTAGTCAGCAGGTTTGCAGCTGATTATAATTAATTGCGCATGCTAATGATGTAATCTGTATTTGTTCCTAAAATTTCCTTTAATCAAAACTGAACAGCGGCAGTTCAAATCCTGCAGTCTTATGAAGAATGGTTTTCTGTTCTAAATTAATCTTGTAACTAGATGCTGCATTAAAGCGCATTGTTCCTATAACTTCCCGTGCCTGACTGCCAGCTGGCCTGATCCAGGGTTAACAATCTTAAACTGGTTTGGGTGATGTAAAGCTTTAGTTCCAAAATTCCCTGTGGTTTCCTTCTTCAGTGGATGCTGTCTTTATCTGTCCTGCAGAATGCTTTGCCCAGTGATGAAGATGACAAGGATCCCAACGATCCATATAAGGCACTTGATATAGATCTGGATAAGTAAGTGACGGGTTTTTATGTGAATTTGCTTAATTGCTAATCAGAACGCACGAGGGCAGGTCTGGGGCTAAACAGGCAAAGGCACTATCTACAGTCCGCTAGGTGAAAAGACTAATTCTCGCCGTGTCTTGGATGTAACCTTAGATGATCATCCAGGCTCAGGTTCCCACTGCGGCATAGGTGATAAAAGCTAAGGTGCTGAAGTAGCGGGGTTTGGGGAGGGGCAGGGGAATTATTCTGTGTGACTGAATGGAGTCTGAAAGCACAGGCAGCGTAGCTGGGATCAGATGTGAGAGAGTCTGAGCTTTTGGGTGAACCAGTATCTCTGATCTAACCTGCACTGGCACTGAGTGTGACCTGCATTCATCTGCCTTCAAATCAGAGCCCCTGTGCACGTGGCAGGCCTGTTTGCTCTGCGTGGTGATCATTTGACCAGTAACAGCCAGCTGGTAGCATCCCCATTGCCCTGTGGACATTGTGTGGTTCCACTGTTGAAAAATGTTGTTCTAATAAGATTGAGTGAACTCCATACCATAACTTTGCCCAGAGTCTGGTCCCCATTCAGCTACTGGAGTTGGTTCCAGTACCGGCACCCCAGGCTGCAGCGCAGCAGGCTCCGAATCCCTGCATGCCATGTGATAATTAGCAGTGGGCTGTTAAGTGTTGCACATGGAGGTGGTTTTTTTTAGTTGCTGTTTTACAAAATTGCCACACTAAAAATAATTGCTGATGTATGGTCCATGGATGCCTCCTGTAAAGTTTTGAAGACTGTGCAGGCGCATGTGTAGTATCTCCCTCTCTCTGATACTTCACTTCAAAGTCTGTGCCGTTCTCTGCAATTCTGAAGTCCGTAGGGGTTTGGCCCCTTGGTATCTTGCAAAAAAGTGATGAAGCATTTTTAAAAAGTGAAGGAACAGTTTCTGAAAAACTTCCTTCCTTCATGAGCTGGTCATGTTCCTCTGAGTCTGCAGGGGACAAATGTATACAAGGAAATTAATTTCTGACTGTAGACCTCGCATTTGCATGACAAGCCTCAGCAGCGTAGAAAACACTGATCAGAGCAGTTTCTGAATGCTGTGCTCCAGGAGGCATCTTTGGACTTTTGTATTGTTTCCATCCATTTTCTTCCCATTTCATATGAGTCAGTGTGCTCTCCTGTCACGTTTTCTCATGTCTCTGTCCTCTCTCTCTCTCTGTGCTTGCACTGCTATGTCTGTGTCACGCTCACATGCAGTCTGGTTTCAGGGAAGCCTTCCAGGTAAGAATATATCGCTAAGTAGTTGACCTTCTTTGTCAGGTTGCTTGATTTCAGTGGGCAGCGTAAATGCTTGAAGGGTGATGAAGGTATTGAAATCATTGACCCTCAGAATTGTGTGAGTCTGTTTCATCATTGACTTCCAGCACCGATCCCTGTCCCTGTACAGGTATATGTGAAGTAGCTTAAAGATGCGATGTTTACTGTTCAAAGAGATGGGGTCCATCTTGCCCTTACAGTGTCTCAAAGTAAAAAAAGGAATTGGGTCTGGTTCTTCACGCAAGATAAGCAAAAAAAAAATTAAGGCAGGTGAGACCATTAGAAATCTTCCTGAACTGGTGTTTGCTGCTCAAACATGAAAATTAATGTGAAGTAAAAGCTGTAGAAATAGAAAAAGAGGCAATCGGTGAACTTCTCACGGAGTTCTGGACAGTGTTTGACATGAATGGAGGAATTTCTGTGGTGTTTTTTCCCCAAGTAATGGATTTGGGATACAATGTAAATCTGAACTACTCCTCATGCATTTTGGAAATGGGTATCTGAAATTAAACGCAACTTTTTTAAATGTAATGGTAGAGTACAGATTCGTAGCGTAAACTTCCAAAATGAAACCATTTATTGCTTAAAATAATTTCCGATTGAAGTGATCTATTCACCAGTAACAAAACCCGCGTCCTTCAAGGGCTGTTTGCACCATGCTATCGTTCCACTGCTTGAATTTCCACACCGTTGCAAATGCTTCCTACTGTTTTCCATCTTTGCCGTTCCTTTGAGAGTGGTTCCACAGAAATGCAGCATAACGCTATGCGTATGTGTTCTTCTGTAGGTGTTACTCAGCCTGCAAGTCTCTAGTTATCATTTTTAGGAGTGATCAGGTGTCCGCAAGAGCTTGGCTCTCCGTCACCTTCCAACTGTTTCTATTAACTTCTAATCCACAAGGGCAGTGCCTGCAGTTACATAAATAAACTTCAGGTACAGAAGTATGTGCCGGTTTAAGATTTTGGGGCCCAACTCTTTAAAAACAAAGCATACTTTGTCTTCGACGTCCAGCAGATGATCTGAGCTAAGGGAGACTGTTTGCAGAAGGGTAATGGTCTCTTTATTTTTAAGACCCTTAGCAGACAGCGAGAAGCTGCCAGTGCAGAGACACAGAAATGTGGAGACCCTGAAGTCGCCAGACTCAGAAGCTCCCCTAGTAGAGAAGAAGAGCAAGAAACCCAAAAAGAAGGAAAAGAAACACAAAGAAAAAGAGAGAGACAAAGGAAAGAAGAAAGAGAAAGAGAAAAAGGTAGTAGAGGAGGAAGAAGAAAAAAAGGTGATTCTCTAAGACATACATTGTTTTAGAAACTGCTGTTATGGGCCATATTTATTGCTGTCTTTTGTTTGTTGCTTAGGAACAGTCACATCTGACAATTCAAACAGCTGAATATTTTCAATCTTTATTTCCTTAAATCTTTACAACCATAAGAGCAGGTATTTAAAGATTTCTGTTAATAAAAATAACATTTACTTAACCTCATAAGTTAGCAGAATTCAGCTTACTGCAGCCTACACAGCAGATCTTCCAGATTTATTTGAAAGCTGTATTTACTGATATTTTGGCTGTTCTTAAAATGGGGAACTCTTTAGCAAAATATCTGGAACTCACTTTTGTTCTACAGCCTGTCCCCCCTATACTTCAGAATCTTTCAGCTGTAAAACCTGACATTAGTTGTCAGTTACTCCGAAGAAGACTTGAAGTATCCTTCTTGTTGACCACCCTGCAGAGATGAAGGTTTCATCTAAGATGCAGCCAGCGTGCTTTGAATGCCTGTAGATTCTGTGATACGTAGGGTAACTTGCGGTTTCTGTCAGCTATGTCCAGGTTTGGAAGGGCGCTCAAAGGCTGAAGTTAAGGTTCTTGAACTATTTGCTCCTAAACGTATTGCGGCATCTCTGCATGAGCATTCTGGAGCGATGCACTTCCATGAAAACTTAAGGTTTTAACTTAATTGATTTTTTTAAAGAATAGTATCAAAATGAACCTTAATGGTTTTGTTTTCTCTTGAAATTCAGGGGGAAGACTTGGATTTCTGGCTCTCCACTGCTCCACCGCCTGCTTCCACTACCCAGCCACAGGTAGACATCTTACCACATCACAGGAAACTTTACGATTGCATCTTAGCTGTGATAGGAGTGCTTTGTCGTGCTGCAGGAGAGAAGGGAAAGATAGGCTTCATCTCCTCAACTTATTGCTCTGAAGCAACGACACTTTATCTCCCCAGTTTACAGACGGTGTATTGGGAGGTTTCAAGCTCATTCTGCTGTGCAGGTCAAGGGATAGAAATACAGATGCAGCTACAGGCTTGGTGGATTTTAAGATTAATGGTGGTTTTTAATATTATATTATTAGTATATGGCTTTATTTCCTAGTGTGAGTTAGACACTAGCAATATTAATAGACAGGAGAGAGACAGTCTGAAAGAAGTCGTCTCATGAATTTCGATGGAAGATTTTAGTGGAAGAGACAGGGAATATAAGGGGATGGTTTCCTTGGAGGAAAGCTTTTGTACTTTGTCCTCAGGTGGTCATATTTGCTGGGTTTCGGAGGCATAAAATGAAAGGCTTGATACCATGTTGGTCTAATGTAATCCTTGAAATAACAGTTGATGGCAGGGGGTGTCACTGTTAAGATTTCTTTTGGTGTGGGCTTCAGTTGTTTCAGCTGCGTTGCCTTAGTGTCATAATCCTTCTGCTAATCCACTCAGAGTGAGCCTGAAGCGGGTGCTGCTGTTGTGGCTGAACCTCAAGAGGTAAAAAAGGAAGAAAGGGAAGAGCGAGATGAGGAGGAGGAGGAAGAAGGAAAGGTAAGTCGTTTACATTGCTGACACCCTTAGCCGTATTCTCCTAGTGTCTCATATTCCTTAAAAAGAAGCACACAGGAATTACCAACAGCATCCTGTTCAGTGTAGTGACCACCTGCAAATAGGCAGCAGTGGAATGTTACGTCCTTGAGGAGCTCTAAACACTTCATAGTAAGGGTTTGGTTGTTCCTTGAGCCAAGGGTCAGGTAGCAGTTTTAAAGCTGAGCTTCCAAACAGTTGAAGAGATTTGACCTTCTGCTGATCCCAGGCTGCTTTGGGTTAAGGTGTTGTCATCTGAGTGGGGAGCAAGGGTTTACTGGGACTCAACACAGAATGACAACTGGGGTTTAAGGAATGGGAGCTCTGTTTTGGGTTTCTGCAGTAGTAGGAAACTTTGTTCAGTCATCCAGAAGGCTGCGTAGAGTGAGAGTCTAAAGATTGGTAGAGGAGTCATGATGTAATGGCTGCAAATAGAGGGTTTCTTTAAGGGTTTGTTGTAGTTTCTTGTTCTTCTTGGTAGAAATCCTCCAAGCATAAGAAGAAAAAGCACAAGAAGGAGAAAGAAGAGAAATCAAAGGATAAAAAGAAATCAAAAAAGAAGAGTCATCACAGCGAGGAGGAGACAACAGAGTCGGTGCAGAATGGAACACTAGATGATGAACCACTACCAGTGAGTAGCTGTGCACTGCCAGCGCTTGCCTTGGGGAAAAGGCAGGAGCTAAACTGTTTTGGGAGGAAGGAGAACGGCAGCTCTTTTCAGAGAAATTAGTTATATTGTGACTGTGATTTCTTTCTTGTTTTTCAGCCTATGTCCAGTTACCGCCTTCTTGCTGAAAATCCATACATTAAAATGGTGAGTTATTTGGCATTCAAATCCAGATATCTTCTCTTTCGTGCTCTCTAAGAAAACAGGGGATACCCTGGGGATAGTATAGCCACTTTATGTAGACAACATTTAACTGAAGGACTGTTTAAATCCCAGGAGGTAGAAACATAACAAAGCTCCATTTCCATTCCTTTGGATGTCCCACTTAACAAGTTTTTAAGTTGCTGTTTTCCCACTAGCAGTACTGTGGAGCTGATCACCTGTGTGCTTTTCATTATTCTATAGCTGTACCAAATTACCTTCTTTTTGAAGCTTGCTTTATTCTGATGTGTTCTGTTCTGGTCCTCTGTAGTTTGAAGTCTCTGAATCTTTCCTGTGATTTTTTTTTTTTTTCTCCATTTGCAGACCTATGATATTCAAGGAAACCTCCAGAATGATAGTCAAGTTACTGTCTCTGTTATCTTTGAGAACAAAAGCACTAGCTTCCTTAAGAGCATGGAACTAAATGTCCTGGACTCTCTCAACACTAAAATGCTCCGACCAGAAGGATCATCAGTACATGATGGGATACCTGTGCCCTTCCAGCTACCCCCTGGTATGCGCAGCTTTGCACAGGGTTCTTGGAGTATGTCTAGTCCTGCACTGCCCTCCTGTGGAAAGAAATGTTTGAACTTCTTGCTACTTGCTGTTTTCCAGAAAGACATGTCCCTCTGCCTGGGTGTTCACTGGGCTTTCACACAGTTTGCGGGAGAGGATAAGCCTCCTTACAGTACGGCTAGAAATGCAGGTGGTTCTGTGCAGCAACAGCGAAGCCTATAATGTAGGGCTGGGAATCCAAATGTCTCAGTCCCTTTTTCAGGTGACTGCAGGCTGGCACACCTTTGAATGTGCCAGCATCGCTAACTACAGGAATCCAAAATTCATGAGGAGTTCGCTATGAGATTTAAAATGAAACAAAGTTATAGGTTCATGAACCATTAGAATCCATTCTGGATTTATTCTTTAGCTATTGTTCCACCGTTCTAATGGCAGAGGCCATGTGCAGTGAAAGTTTGTGACAAGTATGACAAGTATGTGCTTATTTGGATGGGGAGCTGAGCCCTTAAGAAATATTAGACACAGAGGTGCAGGATAAATGCTTCCTACCTAGTACAGTAGTACAGTCGAATTGCTGAACTTCTTTGAATTGCACTTCTTTCGCCAAAGGGTTAATTTGAATACTGAAACAGCTCACAAAAGTCTTCTGGGATTTAGTGGCTTCAGGGTGCATTTTGATCCCCCATGAAAAGCAGTGGGGTATTTTTTTTTTATTCTATATAAGGCAGTTCTCAACACAGACTTGTATATTAAAAGAAAAACATAGAAACATTAGAATTCAAATTACTTCTGGAAACTACTTGAAAAGCTGTATATTTTCTAGTTATACAAACAGTTTAAATGTATTGCCACTGTGACATACTTTGCCCTGGCTCTCGCTCGATAACCTCTACCAAATGCCAGCTATCGCTGCTGCTTTTTGGAGACCCAAGAGCTAAGTGCTGTAACATTGGTAATTCACAACAGGAATTGTGCATATAACTCTTTCCAACTACATGGAAAACTTCAAACTTGGTTGAAAAAGAGCCGGTACATAAAGCTTAGCTGCTACTGATCAGTTTATTCTAACCATTACTTAGATACGGAAACCATTTTCTGACCTGACTTCTCCCTCTCCTCTCTTCATGCTAGGAATCTCTAATGAAGCCCAGTTTGTGTTTACACTTCAGAGTATTGTTATGGCTCAGAAGTTAAAAGGAACACTGTCCTTTATAGTCAAAGTAAGTGCAGCTTTAAACTCTGTGCTTCTGCTTCCTTTGGAACCGCATAAGGGAGCTTGACTTGGGTGGAAAGCACTGCTTTAGAGCTTTTCTTAGGCATCATTTCATCTCTGCTGCACCAACCCATTCTGTGATGTGAGAAGTATTTTGACATGACATCTTGTGCAAAGAGTGTGACATCTTGTGCAAAGAGTGTCCCCAATACTGCGTAAGCATGTCCTAGATTGTCATTCCTGGCAGCGTGTGAGCAATGCAGCCTGAAACGTATGCCACATTGTCAGCTAGAAAATCACTGCAGTGGTGCATCTGCCGGGGAGAGGAGGTCAACCAGCTAGCGAGAGGTGCAACCCAGAGTCTGTTTCTTCTGATCTTAGTTATCCACAGATCAGTTGGATGCTGCTACCTGGTACAAGGCTGGAAAAATAGTAATAAGAATTAGATACAGTTAAGGATGGAAACCCAGAACGAGAGGAAGGTTAGCTGAAGGCATTGTTTAATAAGTGTCGACCTGTATAAAACTTATGTGGGTTTCTAATCTTATTTCGGTAAAATTATTAATGAAGGAGCTGCATGAACAGCTCGAAGGAAGTGAATGGAGACAGTTGTGGCTACTTCTGAGTCAGCCGTTATCTCTATTTTAAGGGTTTCTTAAAAATAGTACGCTAGTCCTATTTTCAGTACCTAAGAATCTGGGAGATACTAATTTATCATCTTGCTTGGGAAATAGTGAACTGTAAAACCACCTCTCCAAGTGTTAGTTTAAATTCAGTCTGCTCAATATATTTCAGCAGAGTGCAATCAAAAATGCAGCCAGGTCCCTCCAGTTGTGTCCCTTATCTGCTCTAGGTGTATGTATCAACCTAGCTGCTCAAACCTTGTCTCTAAGTGGCCTGATGACGTAGTGTGATGGTGGTCCTCAGCCTGATCCTTCAGGCCCAGCCAGGGTATATCAAGGGGAATTGAGCCCTAAAGTCTTCGTCGGTGCCTGTTTGGTAGGTGGGGGTGGTGCCTCCTCTTGCTGCCTGGGGGCTCCCATTCATCTCCTTTCCTTTGACCTGTTGCAGAATGATGAAGGTTCAACCCATGAAAAACTAGATTTCAAATTGCACTTCAGTTGCGCTTCATACTTGATCACGACGCCTTGCTATAGGTAAGTGCCATTTAGGGAGCACAACATTGGTGCTTTTGCCGCCCATGGGAAGCTGAGCTTTGGCTGCAGGCCATCTCTGCAAGATATGCAGCATGCTTTTGACTTTGGCTGCTCGTGATTGCTTTGGGTACAGTTCAGTTATCTTGTGTAATGTTTGACTGCTAAAATATGTCCAGCAACTTCTGTCAAGTGATTCTGAAGAAGGAGCTATACGCCCTGTAGGCTGGCAGAGGTCGTAGCTATGGATGAGGTCATAGGGTGCTCCAGTGGAGTCTGGAGTCTGGTTCCCATATTTGCTGTAAACCCATTTTCCTAGAGCTTGGTAGGACTTAGACTTCTGCATCCTGAGATGTCTCAAGGTCTGCATGGGGCTAATGTGGCAGATTTCACTTGAATTTCTAGTACCAGTGTTTACTTTCCTTCCTGTTTTGCAGTGATGCTTTTGCCAAGCTCCTAGAGTCTGGAGATCTGCACATGAGTTCTATTAAAGTAGATGGAATTAGCATTTCTTTCCAACATCTACTGGCAAAGATCTGTTTTCATCATCATTTTTCAGGTGAGTCTTCCTTGATGCAGAACCTTCTGCAAAATTCTATATTCTAAAATTTCTGCTGTGCTTGGCAAGTGCAAAACTCGGTGGCCTCAATGATGACAGAAGCAGGTGATGCCCAGATTACATAAATTTGGGAGAGGAGTTTTTTTTTTCCAGTTTTGTAATACATTGATATCCTCAAGGCATGCGAAGTTCTTCAGAACGAACTCTCCTGTCCCTGTGGCTTTTCTTCAGTCCAGCAAGGCACGTGGCAGGTATCACGGGAGCAGCTTGCTTATAGTTAGGGCTGTAACTGTTCTCTGGAGGGTGCATTTGATCTTCAGTGCTTCAACCTACCTCTTTCCCCGGTGCTTCATTTCAGTAAGGGAGAGCGCGAGCTATTCAAGTTTGGACTCTAGTAATTAAAAAAACCGTACTGGATGAAGCAAAACGAATGGCTGTTTCATCATGCTCTGGTGTACGCATTAGACGTTGTGTCACTGGAAGTATTTCTGGGGAGAGATGTACATTCTGATCAGCATTTTTGCCACAAACCATTTGCAGCTTACTTAAAAGACCAATGACTAACCTCATTATTGTGAAATATCCCAGATAGGAGCCAGGAGGAGCCAGGCACGTACATCATCTTAACCCTGACTTCCTCCTCCCCTCACTCAGTAGAAGCTTCTGTTCCTTGAGGCCAGGCAAAGCAGTAGTTCCTCTTCATGGGAAGCAAATCTTACATTAAAAGTTGTCCCACTAAATGAAAACTCCTGTTTTCTTTGCAGTTGTGGAACGCGTTGATTCGTGTGCATCAATGTACAGTCGCTCTATCCAAGGCCATCACGTCTGCTTACTGGTAAAAAAGGTGAGAGCATTGTAACACTCTGAACCAAGACCCGAGAGAAGCTAAAGCTGCAGCCTTTCCTGTCTTAACAGAAAGAGGGAAATATTCCTGTCTAAATCATCCAGGGACACCATGGGCATTTTAATTCACCTGGCCCATCTAGCAGTTCTCGCTGTGCTACCACCAAGCTCGTACCTCCCCGTGGGCTTTCTGCTGCCCAGCACATACTGGTGGGTAGCAGCAGCGCCGATGGCTTCCCCGATCTGACCTCTCGGCTCAGCCTGCTTCCTTGCTGTGCAGGCTCCACCGGCTGTTTCCAGTCCCTGAGCTTGGCCGGGAATAAAATTGTCCCTGCTTAGAAGAGGAGCTAATGGATTTCTCTTTTTCTTTTTCTTTCCAAGGGAGAGAACTCTGTATCCATAGATGGGAAATGTAATGATTCCACCCTGCTTAGCAACTTGTTGGATGAGATGAAAGAGACATTGTCCAAGTGCTGAATATTCCTTATAAAATATTCCAACTACAAGAAACACACCTAATGTGTAAAGACGAGCAGACCCAAGTGTTAAGTTTCTCCCTCGTACGCATGTACTATCCTGGGGCACGTGCTTTTCAGTTAACTCCACCATTGTTTGCAGTTTAGACATTTTAAGGCTGTATGTTACCTTTTTATTTCAAAACTTTTTACAAACTGTGGTGTTAACCCTTTCTAGCCCAAAGAGATCCTGGTGACATGACTGGAGGAGGGAGGGAGGGACGCTATTTATTCAGCAGCTGACGACGATCCCATAAACCTTGCCATCTGCGTGGGACAGCGGACTAAGCAGAATTTTATCAACAGTAGCACAGAGTCTGTTGCTTGTGCTTATTGCCGGGGAAGGTTGACTTGATCCTTAGCCATGGAATATGTCTTCAGGGCTGCTGTAGTTGATGTATATTTCTAGCAGAGGCTGGTGCTGGACCTGAAGGCCTCTTCTTTTTTTTTTTTTTTTTTTTAATATATGATTTATTATTATTATTATTATCTCAAGATCTGTTGTGATCAGCATATAAACATCCTCCATCTCCTTGAGCTAATCCAAATGAGCCCTGTGAGAACTGGGATGTTTGACTTTCTGTTTGTAGTAGTTGCCTTGAGCCTTAACCTCCTTTTAGTGACAGCTGAAAGAGTAGAGAGCGAATGCATGAAACAGGCTGAAAGTGTTACTGCTTGGTTCTCTGCTCCTGTTGCCCACCCCCGCAAATGGAGTCTCTCATGCCTCTCCCCTTTGAGCAGTCTCTGCTGATGTGTTTTATGAGTCCACTTCAATTTCACATTCCTGAAAGGTTAGGGTGTAGCAAGAAACTGGAAATCCAAAGGGGTCTGTTCCTGCTTTTTTTTTTTTTTTTAATCATTTTGCTCCCCAGCTGAGGTTGACCACTACCAGGTTAGAGAAACGCCTACACGTGTAATCCCTCGTACTCCGAACAGTTTGCAGATACAGCCCCGTTCCCTCCCTCCGTGCTGTGAAATCAGAGATGTTGTGCTGTCTCAGTTGTCCCCGTAGCGTCCCACGGCCCTGCCCTCCCAGCAGTGGGTGCAGATTTAGCAGCGCAAGTGTACCTGGGTCCCTGCAGCAGAACTCTGGAGGGAGAGGCTCGGGCAGGAGCTGCGGCCTTGGCTCTGTAGCAGCTGACTTCAGAGGGAAGAAAGGGAGGGTCCACAAAGCAAAGCCCGTTCTGCACTAGTGAAATCTTTTGGAATCACTGACTGGGAAGGGATGTCACTGTGTCCTTCACAGAGGTGCTTCATCGATGTCCTTCTCCAAAATCTCTTGCTTTCGAGATTTTTTTTTTTTTTTTCCCCCACCCCAGTTCTTTTCCTTGCTGTTCCATACCCAGCAAACTGAGAACGCACTCCAACGGTTTTGCTTTGAGGCACGGGTCAAGAGCTGTTGGTTGCTGTTCCCAGGGAGGAGCTGGGTTGGTCTGCACTTCTCCGGCACCGCCGCCACTCCGACAAGTGTCAGCACTGCCCGGTAGAGTTGAACTAAAACCCTACGCAGGATAAAGGCGTTGATCTTATCCTTTGGGTGAATGTCCTGTCCTTTAAGCGTGTCGTGTGCTCTTTACACTCGTCCCATATTAGGGTATTTTTGCAAAGGCTCTGCTGTGGTTTTATGGCTAGGACCGGCTTTGTCTTCTGACTGCACTTGCGCGCTGCAGGAATTCGTTTGCAGCAGGCTTCACTGCTGGTGAAGTGGTAGTTTTTGGTATTGGTCAACCTCCTTTGGTTAGCCAGTTTGTGTATTAGAAACTGAACATATTAAAATTGTCTTAAAGGATAATGTTCCTCAATTAGTGTTTTTTTTAATTCATGGATGAAAACTGTCACTTTAGCATGTAGAGTCTTCTCTTACAGAATCCTGTGCAGTGATTCTAGAATTTTGAAACTGTATGATGTGTTACATTCACAAATTTATTTGCTATCAACATTCCCTTAAAAAAAAAAAAAAAAGACAACAACATACCACAAGCTGCTGTAATGATTTTGTGTCAAGATGATCCAATAAACTTTCAAAACAAAGTTCAATTTTTGGCTTTGTAAATAGTCCTTTTATAAGACCCTTCCAGTTTATGGACCCAAAATCATGCCATGGATGCACCGCAGCTCTGAATGCTTGTGTCTTTGGGGGAGGTAAGAGGAATCTCATTCCAAAAGCTCCGGAGGAGGTAAGAAGTCATTTCTAACCCCCCTCTGTGGGGCGATGGGTTTTTATCGGCGGGGGACTGGTGTGCGTCAGCGAGGGGAGCCCGTCCGTCCTGCATCCCCGACGGGCGGGTCAGGTACCTGCGCTGTCAGCGGCACGGCTCGAAGGCGTGAGGTGCGTGAGCAGCAAAGGAGTCGGTAGTGAGGGGGCTGGGGCGATGGATGCTCCTCTTCACCTCTTGTGTTTTAACTGACCTGGTTTTTACAGGCGCCAAAGCTTTGATTCCGACGCGCTGTGAACAATTACCCGTGCAGGCTGTCAGGTTTTAACGCTCCTTTGGAAGGCAGCATTGCAAGCAACAGTTGTCACTAACACAAAAATTACAGAGAAAAAAAAAAAATAATAATTTGGACAACCTGAGTTAAAGCTGCATTAATTTTTTTTTTTTTTTTTTTGGATCGCGGTTGCAGCTAAAATCTAAGCGCTCGTGAAACTCGGAGCTCTGGTCTTAATGAGATGCCTAGAAACTGAAGGACAGAACTCAGCCCCTTCCATCTCTTCCTCTGAGTAAAATTCGTGATGGAAACACGGTGGCGTTAATGTGAGGATTCAGGTCCAGTACTCTCGCAACAGGAGCCGAGGCCTTGGTTTTGCTGATAGTCTCAGTGGTTGCTAGTAAGACCAGAACCTGTGAAAATCATCTCTTACGACAGAAGATATCTGGGGTTGCGTAGTCGGGAGCTACCAGACCAAACCCAGGGCTTGCACTAACTTGTCGGCCCCGTTACTGGTAGAGAAGCTCCTGCTGCAAAGGAAGGACCCGCTCGTTTGTTTTCTGCATGCAGCGCGAGTCCGATATCGCAATCCCGGAGCGGCGTGCCGGGAGGCTGCCTGCCTGCTCTGCCGCCTTGTGGGACTGCACAAATCTGCCGACAACGGGGTGAAAACCACCACCACCACCCATCTTTTTGCAAATGCATGAAACCAAACCCAAACCCAGGAAGCACTTGGAGCGGACATCGAGTATTTAATGCGCTGCAGGACCTTAACTGGACAATGCAGTTTACGGTGAACCCAGCACTGCGCACTTCTGGCTTCGAACAGTAAGCCAGGCTCTTACCCTGCTCTCCGCGTTTACGTCACGTCAAAATTCACTGAGCAACCGGACAAAGAGAATCGGTCCTTACCCAAGTGTATTTTTGCACGCGGTATGTATGAACGAGCGCGTAAAAGAAGCGGTGCCCTGCACCGTCCTCGCAGGGACAGGAGCGTGCCCCCCCCCCCAGAGGTTTGCAGTTGCAACCCTGTCATGCCAAGCCTTGGGCAGAGCAGCCTCTGCTCCTTGGCGGTACCCAGCCCTCGGCAGCTGCGCTCTCCGGAGAGGCACCGATGCTGCTGGAGCAGCTGCCCCAGCTCCTCCCGGGGGCAACAGCCCTCCCCTGGCCTGGGGCTGCGGCCGCAGGGAGTGGGATCAGCTGCTCTGCAGGAAGATCCAAGCTGCCGGGAAGATGCTGCTGGGAGCAGCGGGAGACCCGGATCGAGGAGCCAAAGCCTTCACCCCCCGGGTGCTCCGCATGCTCCTGGGGCTGGGCTGGGAGCACCACGGGAGGAGAGGAGCTGGGGCTCCGGGACTGCCAAGCTGGGGAACGGGGGGCACCGAGCTCCCCTGTAGGGAAGAAACCCCGAGTGCAGGACCCGAGGGAGCCGGGAGGGAGCTCCGCGGGGCGCGGGGAAGGGCTGTGCTTTTGGCAGGGTTTTTAGGCTTCCCGGGGACTCGCCAACTGCGTTGGACTTCCCTCCTTCTGGTGTTTTGTGAAAATTTCCCTTTGAACCAGCAGCTGTGTTTCCTGCTACTTCTCCTTTTTTATGACTTGAAACTTTAAAGTACGTGCACATCCCTTCAGCCGCTCCTCTTTGGCCAAGCCAGGGGGAGGGACGCGGCTGGCTCTTGCTTCCCCGGGGGG